TAGATAACCTACAACTATCTATACACTTAACGCTACAAGACATTATAGGGTCCTTCGTCTGCATTAAACAGCTAGATTGTAATTTAAACGACGATCCTATTGTCTTACTTATACACTAGTCTACTAAGAAATACCTTACTAACCAAGAACTCTACTCTACAGACAAGTTAGTACAAAATCTGGCGGTCTCCTTATTAAATGCAGCGATCGACATGTCCCAATTATGCATACAATACCTTCTAATAGATAAGTTTAAGACAGATCTATTTGCACCAGAAAAGACGAGCGTTGAAAGCAGTTCGCCCAATTCATCTCGTATCTTACCCTCTATAGATAATGAGGAGACGGACTGGGACGGCACCCTCAGTCTAGACAATTATCTTGGCCTTGACAGCTTCTTTAGGGAATTATAGGAATTGGAAGAGGCACAATGCGCGCTAATTGCACAGAGATTTGAATTCTTTGATTACTCTGCAATCTGGGCAGAGTATTGTTTGCTCTGTGAAGATGCTGCTCTAAAGTCTATGCAGGATGCTATCTGCCAGCTAACAGCGAGCTCTAGCTGCGCCTTAATTAACTAGCTAAAATTCTACTAGATCAAAAACAATATTAAGTACTCATTCCTAGATACTTTTAAAACTATTAAGGTAGCTGCGTTCTTTAACTTAACCTTATTACGTGCTAAGGTCCTAGAAAAAGCACGTCTCAGAAGTGAGACAAAGGTCCAGGCTTTATTCTAGGTAGCGAGAATGTCCTCCCCTAATTGTATAAAGCTGTTACTTGAGCACAGGGTAAATCTAAACAGCATTAGTATTAAATAATAAACACCCTTAACTATATTAGCGCAGTATGGGTATTTAGATATTGTCCAAATACTTCTTGATAAGCTAAGTATAGAAACTAATTTTAGAGGTAGATCTAGAAGATTAGCACTGTTGTTTACAGCGACAAACAGGCATTTAGAGATTGTCAATGCCCTGCTGAAACAAGGGGCGTTTAAGCTAGACGATTAGGACAACATGCACTAGACTCTGCTCTTCTAGGCTGTGCAAGGGGACTTCGCAAGCATTATACAGTTGATATTAAAGCAACTGTTAGTTAATGTTAACCAAGTTAATAAATCTAGACAGTTGGTGCTATCTTAGGCTGCAGAGGAGGGCTCTAGGCAAGCTTTAAAGATTCTGCTAAAGCATTCCTTGGTTAACTTAAATCTTAAGAATGTTTAAGGTTGCTCTCTACTGTTGTAGGCTGTAGGTAATAGGCAAAGCGAGGTAGTTATTACTTTGATACATAAAATAGTATTAAGGGTTAAAGAGGCCTACTAACGAGTTTATATTCGTCCTAACTATAGAAGTAGAAAGATAGAGAGAAGAAGAGAGTATATCTCTTCTCGTGCGAGATATATCCTAGTGCTAAGCTAGGGGCTAGTTCTCAAGTAGCGTACGTGCTTATATATAAGGTACGCCTTGTATGTAGTCTTATATCTCTAGGGCCTAGCCTATAACAAATAGGTGTTAACAAAAGCACTAAGGATAGAGACATGCGTAATGCTATCTCTTGGGTATATTAAGGTGGACATACTAACACGCTGCGCTTGTTGTTAGAGTATGGTTGCAGCAGCGTAGACAACGTTAATATTAATCCCTGGACGCTATTACTGTGGTCACTCTTCGTCTGTTCTGTAGCAACAGTAGAAACTCTTCTATTAACTTGTTGTGTACAAGTTAACTGCTAGGATAGTTATAGTTGTACAGCATTAATATAAACTGCAAGCTATAGTTGTCTTAATGTAGTACAGCTTCTAGTCTTGTAGGATGCAGATCTGCACATTAAGAACTATAAGGGACATACTGCTGCGGATGTTACGAGGTTAGAAGGGCAAATTAAGGTATTGAATTTTCTAGAGACTCAGCAAACCAAGGCTGCTAAAAAGTAACAAGTAGGTTAGAGCAATGCAATCTTAGCCTATTGCTCCCTGTCTATCTTCGCTGATACTGCAAGAAAGGCCCAAAGCGTTCCCCTACTGCTACCTTATAGACTACTCTAGATTATTTGTACAACAAATAGCCTTAAAGCATCTTTTTATAAACCACTCTCTAGATTCAAGCATTTACTAGTGTATCCAGCGAAGATGTTTGCCTTATGTTATCTATCTGCCGCTACTAGCCGCCCTTATAAGCCTTGTCGAGTCTCAGTAGGGAAGCTCTTGAACCCTAGCCCTCCTGAGAAGAATAAGGACACTGCTCTAAATCTTATTCTTTACAGGGGAAAATAGTAGAGATCCGCAGCTTTAGTTCCAGACATCATTTGTGCATGCAAACTTGCCATAGGGTCTTTGTATGAGCGATCAAGGGCCACCAATGAAGGTGAAAGCTCAATCGCTCGGCGGGAGTACATTACCAGAAGGCACAAATACACCTCCCTCTAAATTTGTACCTGCTCCCGAAGATCCGCCGCAACAGCTTCCTGCGATGCGTAGAGTGCGGGGTTTCCACAAGTTCATGTTTACAGAAAAGAAACTTCTCTCGACTCTAGTAAGCAGCTGGCTAGGCAAGTTAGCTCCTATGTATTACGATTATCGCGATGTTTTCCGGCCAGTGTGGTGGCCATCGTACGTAGATTATCCACTCGTGTTTCCTACGACACATTTCTGTAAGTTACAGATGACAAGAGGCGGCTAAAGCTAACGCACAAAGACAACGCTCATTTAGCATCTGCTATGGCCATATTCGAACGAACTCGACAGACACGCTAAAGACTGTCGCCAGGCATGTCTATACCGAATTCCGCAAAGCATCCGATATCTCCGCTACGCTGATAGATTGAGATGATTGGATACGTTAAAGACCTTCTCTCCACACCAGCTCGCACTATCTGACCCTTCGGATCTCGCTGCATGGCAAAGCCATCGACTACATTTTGATGCTGCCTTTCGGCCGCGGATTTAACTTCTCTTTCCTTTCGTCTACTTCGCGTAACAATGTCGCGACCAGGATCAATGCCCCCAACAATGCCCACGAGGCTCGGCCAAGAAAAGCCATCGTAAAGATGTTTCCATCTGCAGATTGGTTAAAACCACTGCAGAACGCTTAATCTTGACATGGTTCCACAAGAGCACATTGGCTCCATGTTGCAGTTGTAGTATCGTCATAATATTTGACCTATGGGCCTAAACGCCCATGTTTGCAATTTTGCGCACCTGTTGACTGCTTTGAATGGCTACCGGTGATTTCACACCAGGTCCAGGCTTCGGAGAGAAGATTCATGTCTTGGTTCCTGGTGCTTCGCATATGTAAATTGTTTCATTATTTGACCACGGTTTAGTTCTTGGTCGAACTCCGCTTCTCATGCAGCCTCGCGTTGAGCAGGAAAAACAGACTTGTAACGAGCCCCGAGACTCCAAAGCCAAGTCCCAAATACATCGCACCACGATAACCTTTGAGCTCGTCTTCTTTTGTCTGACCACCATTGTTAATGTGCATCTCAACAGTACCCGCAATACCAACACCAATACTAATGCTATAGTTGACAATAGTATTAACCAAACTCGCAGCCATACCCTAGTGATGTTTTTCCATTGCATTGCTCATAATGAGCGTGCCAGCTGGAAAACTCATGTCCATGCCCCATGGAATGACCAGTGAGACTACAAAAGTCTGAGCCCAATAGGTTTGGCCAGGGGGAATGGTTGCAGTGATGATGCTACCAATGATGAATGCACACATCGAGATGAACAGAACAGAGCAGGCTAACAAATAGAATCTCGTACACGAGCGACATTCTTTGCGTGACAGACTTGGTCGGCGCCAGCTCCGGACCACATCCATCTTCGAACTTACTTGACAGAGCCAAGTCGCGGTCATGCACGGGAGTGCTTGTCGAGGTGTGCGTCGGGCAACGTAACAGCATCGATACAGGTGTTGACGGTGATTGTGGCATCGCCTCTTCCGGCCCAGATAAGTAGCAGAGATTGCTTGCGGAGTTTAATGGTGGATGTCTTGGTCCGCGTATAGTGCTCCAATGAAATCTCCCCTCTGGCTTCTGTGGCCGGCGTCCGCACGCTTGTCTTGTAATAACAAAAGGTCCGCTCGGAGCTGAGGAGATAATTTGGAGTGCTATGATTGTATCTCCATCTGTACCATATAGGGGCCTACCTATTTTATACACTTTGGGAGAGTGCGCAATAATGCTTAGGCCAGCCCGTGGCGTACACGACAGCCCCATTTTAGACAACATATCCGCATGCTTCGATAGCACAGGAGCATTACGGGCAAGTTAACGGAGTTTAGCTAAGAGAAAAATCCGTCACATTCGGCTTTCGCAAAGTGTAAGAGCCGAAAATTAGTCATGGATATCGATGGTTTTGTTGTGCCTACGGGAGTTTTGGCTTGTGTCGTCATAGCTCAATGTCCATCGGCGTCTATGCTATGTCCGAAACTTTGATTTTTTGCGGGCTTAGAACGAATTTTCCCCTAGCGCACAAGCTAGGTCCCCTTGGCCGACTGACAGGCTACTCGAAAAGGCCCCCTTACCCCGCCCATTATTTCTGTTATGTTCCAAAGTTGCTTTCCAACCCTTCAGAAGGCGACACCTCAACAACGCAGATGTCCATTAAATGCACTCGCTAAAGCGACGGCATATCGGATCATAGAATTAACAGCTCCTCCGCTCAGGACTTTGAAGCGGCAAACAAGTAGTGATCATGACTTTTAATATTGGTCACGACCGAGAAGAAATTCTTCCTTTGATCTCAGTGTGATGAGCCCAAGGTGTGCGAGGTACAATACTTGTAAGTGTACAATAATACAACTCGATGGTAACTCAGCGAGCCGGCAAACTTCCCCAATTGCGCCGACTGAATGAACATAAAAGAGGCACAGGTTCCGCTATGCATGTTGTTCACTCATACTGCCTATGTTCCCCTGAAGGCTGTTCCCGTTGTTCTCTGCACTCTCTACCATACAAATCAACCTCTACTCTACCTGTCTTGCGAGTTCACCATGAGCACTGAGAGGAGCGGCGTTCTCATCGTCGGAGCTGGCGAGCTCGGCCAAGCCGTCGTAAGCAGCATTGTATCACACCCTTCGAGAAACGGAATACCTGTGTCTCTCCTCCTACGACAGGGAACCATCACCTCACAAGACTCAGCGAAACAAACTCAGGTATCTCAGTATCGCAATTTGGGCATCAACCTCGTCCCTGGAGATGTCGTATCGGACTCTGTCGAGGACCTTGTCTCAACTTTCCGATCATTCCACACTATCATCATCTGCACTGGCATGTGGCTCCCAAGAGGCACGCAGCGGCGTATCGCGCAAATGGTGCTCGCAGCCGAAACACCACGGTTCTTTCCCTGGCAATTTGGCCTCGACTTTGAGGCTATTGGTCACGGAAGCGCGCAAGACCTCTTCGATGAACAGCTCGAGGTCCGCGCCCTGCTTAGGGGGCAGCAAAAGACTGATTGGACTATATTCTCGACTGGCATGTTTCTGGATTATCTCTTCGACAGAGACTTCAACATTGTCGATAGGACGAACTCCGTCGTCCATGCGCTGAATGACTGGACCACCGAGGTGACGGTCACTTCAGTCATGGACATTGGCCGCATCGTGGCTGAGGTCCTTTGGTGCCCTGATAAGACTACATCAGGCATTGTCTATGTTGCGGGCGAAACAATATCGTACGGGCGATTGGCGGATGAGGTAGAGAGGGCCGAGGGGCGCAAGGTCAAGCGCGAGCGTTGGAGCCTCGAGCTATTGCAAGAAAGACTAGAAAAAGATCCTGTGAATCATCTGAAGAAGTATTACTGCGTGTTTGCAGCTGGACGCGGGGTTGCTTGGCCAATTGAGCAGACAATCAACTACAAGAGGGGAATTACGTGCGAAACCGTCAAAGATTATTTGAGAAGATAACAAGATATGGCAACATAACTAGACCTTAATGAACAACTTATCCTCTAATACTATGATTCTATGATCAAGCTTCAATCTACCATGAGATTTAGTTTTGGTAACTAGTATACGAGTAAGAGGTTGTCTAGTATGCCGAAGATTCCTCGGACCCAGGTAGCCTGTGTGTACAGGTTTTTCGGAACACCTCCGCGCGTTTGACGTCACCAACCCAACGCAGCGCTCAGCTTCATGCATTCTGCCCTGCTACAGCTGAATGAATTATTTTGGAGCGTCTTCATGGTAAATCTCAACATTGATGGTGGCGGTAAATTGCAATTGCAATGACTTCTGTGCTGACTGTACACAACACTACAGAACTGAGCATGGACTAGCTTGGGTATACGTGAACGAAAATGGTTACATCTGAAACTCGTGTTCCCTGAACCAGGGAAAAAATCCCAGTTCCGCAGATCAGAGCCACCAATTTGTCATCAGACAAAGATTGAAGTCGGGCCGTTCCCGCGTTGTAATGACGCACCAGAAAGCGAGCCTATATATTCGCACTTTTCACACCAACACATCTCCGGCATCAAGGCTTCTAATTCCTCTACATTCCAAAATAACGATCCCATACGTTTTTGTCCCTCGCCGAATCCCAACGCCCGCAATGTCCGCTCTCCTGACCAACAAGCCTCTCCTCGGGCCCCTCGTCGGCCTCAACGTCTGGACTTTCGCCATTGAAGTTCTGTTGTACAAACGCAGAATTCCCGCTCTTTCGAAATATGGTGTTACGTTCGATCCAGCAACTGTCAAGAAGCAGAAAGCCGAGAAATTGCCAGCTTTCGTCCAATGGCCGGCTGACAACTTCAACAATCTCTTAGAACAACCCACTCAATTTTATGCCGTCGTTCTCGGCTTGAGTCTTTTGGACGTCAAGGACAAGCGCACGGTTGGGTTGGCGTGGGCGTATGTAGGTCTGAGAGTGGTACACAGTCTTATCCACGTTTCTACCAACAACCCTAGCGTCCGCTTCCCAGTCTGGCTTGCAAGCTCCTTCGCAGTAGCAGGACTTACAGCTCAGGCAGCCTGGAAGCTTCTTTTCTAAAGGGACAATTAAGTCTACGTTTAAGTCGTAAATGCATAAAGGTATTATCAAGTTTTTTCTTAACGTAAGTGCAGCTCTTATTTTAACTCTTTATAAGTAAGCTAACGTGAGTGCATAGCGAGTGTGCCGACTAGGCGAGCGCGCCATTCCAACAAGTTGTTGGGCCTACAAACTGCAACAGTTCAATACCACACCGCTGTACTGTAGCTTACAATACAGAATGTTAATTGCTGACCTCTACTACATCTTTCTTACACGTGTGCGAATTATGACTAATCTTTCTGTAGAGCCTACAGTGCCCTTTACCCCTCTTGCCTGTACCTCTTTGAACTCTACCCTTACGACTCTCCCCTTAAACCTGCGCCTCAACGTCGTATTGGGCTATTAAGTCCTCTACCTCTTCCTTTGACAGGTCTCTACCCTTCTAAACACGCTTTTTTTTCTGTGATCTGCGCTTAGAGGCTGCTTTATTTAACGCTTTAAGCTGCAGCACTATGGCTGCTAACAACGTCTGCCTATGTAGTAGTATTGCTGTGCCTCTATGCAGCTGATTAACGATCTTAACTATTAGAGTAGGTGACAATCCTTGGTGCTTTTGAATACGATTGCGAAGCAGCGTTAATTGGGCCTAGATCTTGTTAGTGTAACGGACGTTCTTACGTTACCTATGGTAGCTAGTCCTAAAGGTGTAAGCCGTGGGGATGTTATGGTTGTAGAAGAGTATCACGATTGAGTAAGCGTAGACAAGTTTCTCTCATAAGACAACGATACTTATTGGAGGAAGTATATGCTCAGGAAGAATGTATCCTTGACTACGAAGATGCTAACTATGTTCAATGACCTGCTTATATGCGTCACGATGTGGGTGGTTAGTGGGTTAGTGGGTTAGTAGCAAGGCAGGTCACTAACCCGCTAACCCGTCACGTGATTAGGTTGTGGTCCGCTTCGGGCCCAAGGTTGTAATCCTCACCGTGCCACATCTCAGCATCTTCCGTTTCATACTCATCCCGCGCTTCCGTCCCTATTGGATCTAGCGCATTGTCTTCGTAGAGACCGTTTGTAACAGTTAGTGTTATGGGCTAAGCCCTTAAGATATAAGACTACATAGAGGACGTACGTGCTTATATAAATACGTACGCTCCTTAAGGACTAGCTCCTAGCTTGGCGCTAGGATATATCTCGTATGAGAAGAGACGTATTCTCTTCTTCTCTCTACCTTTCTGCTTCTATAGTCAGGACGAATGCAAACTCGTTAGCAGGCCTCTTTAACCCTTAATAGTGAGCGCTGATAGGTGTTACGATTGCTTTATACCAGCCAACCAGATGCTGACACCCTTCGAATGCTGACGCACTTGGCGCAGTAATTACACGGGCTCTCCCGTGCGGCACGGTGACGGCACAGTTTATTACAAGTCACGTGATTGTCCCGCTCCTTGGCAGTCGAGCCAGGTGGACCCCACGTGGTGGCTCACGATCAACTCGGTGAGCCAAAGGATTTTCTGTGTATCTCTTTAGTATATAGTCATTAGGAATGCGAGCTCTTACAGTTCGTGTTCAACCTCAGTTATCAACTGGACAATACACTTGTCTTTGATGCTCACCCAGCTCTCGAGCTAGACCAAGCGTAACATTACTACTCATTGCTACCCGTGCAAGAAGTGTTTCACTCGCACAAACCCCCAACGCCCTACGAGCACTTGTAACCGTATACATCGACCCGAGAACCAACCAGAACCGTTTACCCAGCTTGCTGAGTTTACGACTTCAACATCTCTTTACTGTACGCTTGCTTTAGGGGGGCAAAACAACCGGTGAAGCTTCGATGATGCCTGAAGCAGTGCATCCTGAGCTCAGCTTGCTCCATAACAGCAGCATCGAGCCAGATGACAAGATAACGGACAAGGCGTCCCTACATGAAACGGAAGGGTGCGTGATGGTCTGCCCCAATGCCTCTGGCGGACCAATCTGCGACACAAAGGAAGAATAGAGGGACCAGCTGGATATAAAGATCTCGGACAGGTTCTACTCACGCACCGTGTCACACCTGGTGTTGACTTTAGCAGCTAGTGGAGAAGGACCTCGTATCAGTAGATAAAGTCCGCATTGCTTATCCTCAAACTTGCTCTAGAACTCGTTAAGTCAAACTTGACTAGAAATACCATGTGCGATGTTAGAGGCGTGAAGATAAGATATTTCAATCCTGTTGATCATCGATTTTCGACGAGACTTTCTGATCGATGTTGCTGTCCACCATTTGCCCAGGGCCAAGAACGAACATTTCCTTTTTCCAATTCCATCGATAACCCAAGAAGAGCCTCTCCAGGCTGGAGACTCCAATAGTTGAGTTGGGCAATCCCATGAAATGCAGCATCTTAGTAACAGCCTACTTATACGAATGAGAATCCTATTGATATACAGTGTCTGAAGCCCGAATTCTGAATAGTACGGATGCTCGCATCGTACAAAACTCAAAGCTGATGCATATCTACAAGATTCTGGCGCGCTTCCTTGATCCGAGCTCGTTACCTTGCGCAAATCTAACACGCTTACATGGTATTGCTGGCAGTGGCTTCTCAAGTCCCAAACCTGAATGATCTATAGTTCCAAACGGACCCTCAAGATGCTGATTGGATATGAGCTTATCCAATGTAGTAGGATATCCGCTCAGTTCTCGTGGCTTGGAGGTAATGCCACGTATCGACATGCCGATCACCTCGTCTCTTTTGTTGACTGTAAAGTTGATACGCCTTCTGAAAGGCAAATAATCTTGCGGTATACTCTTGACGCATCGGACTGGGTTCCCTTGAATATAAAAATACGAAGACGTTGTGGCAAGCTGGTAATACAAGTAGTAAAGTCCATCGCGAGGAAGATCAAGTCAACAGTAGATAAAGCCCTCGCAAGAGTACCGACGCCCATCAAACCTTGGCAAAGAGTCGAGTTCAAAATAGAACATCGAAGATATCATGTAATCCACGACTGCAGTCACTGCGGCATTTCGTCCTGATACTGTTTGCTCTGTGTTTTCTTTCAGAGTAGAAATCTGGGTTGCATCGTCAAGACTCGGCTCCCGTCGAGGAACCTGTAAATTCAGGCGGTGAAATCAATGTCGTAGATGTAGAGGCAATGAGTTGTAGAATTCAATCCATGCAGCTTGAGCGTCCATGCTGTCCATAAGAATCTTCCAAAGGCGTTTCACAAATCGTCCAACGATGGTGGACTCGAGCATGGGTGACCACATACCGGATTGAATTCGAGGGCTACTTAATGTCTCAAGCATATTGCCGGTCCCTAAGGATAGAAGGAGGTATTTGATATCCCAGGTTGCTAGTTTTGCAGGCATGTTATGTTTGATACCACCGTCCTGCACCAGCATAGATCCAATGCTCACAGGGGGAAAATACCTGCTGTTAAGTTAGAGTGGCTCAATGGAAGAAATTACTTGGAGAATCTACCCAGGCGCCGCTGATGTGCAAGTGGCCCTAGAGAGTTAGCAAGATATTGTGAAGCGAGAAGTTTGACTCACGCCTGCCCAACGGTAACATCATCTTGGGCTTGACGAGCACGCTCAACATCATAGCCTGGATAGAGATTAGCAAAGGATATCTAAAAGATTTCAGGGTTCATACCTAGGGTGGGCGGGCGCTTGCCCCCATTGTAATTCGCGATAAGTCGAGCGAGAGAACGCTTTACTTCAGGAGTCGTAACGGCGACCTTGCTCTCAGTTCTGAGCGGATTGAACATCTTCATTGGAGTGCTACAGGCTTTCTCGAAAGCTTTCTCAATGGCTGACGGATCGTACCTGCCATCGTTGATAATTGTGGACAATATTGATCTTTGCTTGCTGAAAGTTCCAGTAGCTGTGTTCTCGAACTCCTGGATAGCTTTCTTTGCCCCCCACTGAAGTAGGAAAACCCCCATTGCAACTAGCCCACCTATAAAAATCAGAACTGGATGCACCATAGTATGCTAGACATACCGGTCGAAGTACCAACCACATAGTCGAAGTGGTCTTTGATTGAGCAACCGAAGCTAGACATGACTTTCTCCAGATGTTCCAAGAATTTCAAGGGTACAATGCCTCGGATTCCTCCACCATCAATGCTCAATACACGAATGCCTGCTGTAGGTGGAATTTAGTGGAAGACAGCATCTCGCTGTATAACGCCGCATATAGTGCACTCGGTGACTGTAAATGTGTACTTATTGGTCTTCGGAGCTCATAGGCCTGGTTTGCTGAGAGCTGTCTCGTTGCAATTATTTCTACGTCTTCCTCCCCAAGAGCCTCAAGGGTTTGAAGAAGCTGATCTGTCCTTGCAGAAGGCTGTTAAACCAGGGCGGCTCCATGGGGTTTGGGAGCTAGTAGATTCCTGTTCGCCATCATGGAGCTAGAGTCTTTGTAAAGCTCCAGGCGTTGTTCGCGTTCGTGTATTATCGATTGGCTGTCTATTCCAACAAAGCCTGAGACGTAGTATTGCGCAGTCTCTTCGCCTCTGTGGCCTAACAGCGTTCGAAGTTGTGGTGCAGTCGCTCTCCCTGAATACGATCAGCATATCTAAACCCTGCAGAGTAGACTGGTCTGACTTTGCACTGCATGTGCAAAGGCACGCCTGAAGCAATATGCGCTGAGGTTTTCTTTGTACTCAGCTCTTTGTCCAACCCCCCTTAATGCAGTGTTGAAACAATCATAAGTCCATATCCGGTCCGCAAAGAGTGTCCCGTCCGCACGCGTATTCCGCATAATTGGGCGGTCCAAAGCATCCTTCTTGTACCTCGCTCGGTACAAGGAGCTTCCAGCTGGGGGCCTTGCTTTAGTAAGATCTTCGTGTGAAGACAAATTCTGGAAAACATCGTCTGCAAAGGCAAGGGAGAGAAACCATGTGACCGGACACATGTATCTCATAAGCGGCTCCTCGTACAAGACCATGGTTGGCCTAGCCAACATTAGTTGTAATGCTTGAAGCTTTATGAGAAACTCACGCGTGCTTCTTGTATTTCCGATGCCCCTTATGGTTCCTCAACTTTACACAGATGAGCCATCCTTGGTATGTAGCAGTCCGTTGGTGAATGAGCTCAATATCCTTGTAATGTAGACCTTCGTTCGATCGGTGCCATGCGTCTGACTCGATAATCTCGCCAGGCCGAACACCAATTAGTAACATAAGCTGGATCGCGAATGCTAGTTGATTGCGCAATCGAAAGTGAAGCCCCCTGTACTCGTCGCATGTGAAAAGAAATCGGATTATGTCTTCAGCCACAGCTAGGGGTGCGAGCGGCTTTGAGCAGGCACTTGTTGATACAAGTTTACCGGAAACCAGAACTTTTGCAATGTACTTGTCAATCTCAGCATTCTGGAGCGGAGTGTACTGGTACTGGGTATGGAGCTTCACAGCCCGTTTCAGGCAGGCTAGACGATTGCGAACGGTGACGTCTGTCACGTTGTTCTCTAAGAGTCCTGTCCTCGATTGTGCGAACCATTCCAGGTGCAGCTGTACATGCAGTGTGGTAGGTGCCTGAATAAAGCCATCTTCAATCAAAGGCTTATCAAGAACGTCTCTAGCGAACCTGCAAGATATTAGTGTGAAGAGCGAAGATAAGATACAATTCAAACCCACTCTTTCCACAGCCTCATTTTGTACTGATACGATTCGAAGACCGATTTGTTCAAGGCTTTCTGTACATCTGCAGCAGTTAATGGTTTCGTTCCCTTTTCCTGGCGAGCGCGTTCTTTGAGAAGTTCAAGGTCAACTTTGCAAGCTCTTTTCCCCATCTCGCAGCTTTTGATATATTGTAACAATAAACAGAAGGGTAAGCTTACATAGATATAATTAGTTTGACATTTGTTCTAAAAATGGTGTGCAGCTGAAAGTTAGCAAATTCGCCCTAATTGGCTAGCGATGTTGGTGTTCGCGAGGCAGACCGGTCCCCGTATCCTGTAAACGCGACACAAAAACCTCAAAACAGTACCTTGGCAGACGGCGGGTCGGGCAGGAGAACTAGCTCTCAGTTTCCAATGGTCGTATGTGCCAGAAAAACGGGATGGATTTGTCATATCCGCGAATGTTATGATTTTATCGGCTGTTGGGAGTGATCCCGCCAAGGACGCCCGCGGCTGCTACTACGACTTCACACACCACCAGACACGGAAATCGAGGAACCATGTACATTCAATTTTGTAGAGCTTTGAAAATATAGATACGTAAGCGCGGAATCTAATTCTCACAATATTCTTTTCCAGATTTATAGAAGAGCAATGCACATACAAATCATTTTCGATGCAGACTTCTTACTTAATGAAACAACAAATGTACAGCGCATTATCTTGGTTCCATTTATATTGAGCTGGCAAAGCTCGTCTTTGTGCTATCAGCCTGCAATTTTGCCTTTGCCTCTTCTATCCAAGTCTCGAATCTCAAGACGCCTAATTGCACACTGCGTATGGGCGTTACCTTTGCACCGCCCAAATCCCCTCCCTCCTTTCTTATCCGCCTGCCGCTCTCAAACTCTTCTTCCTCCAACTCTTCTCGGATGGTTGCCGTTCTGCCCGTCTTCTGTAGGCTGGGTTGGACTGGGATCCACGGCTGTGGGTGTCCGATTGGCGGATCTATATCACCTTCATCTTTGAGCTCCATGCTAATGTTGAAGGAACATTTGGGCGGTAGAGGAGCGAGCGTGGATGTGCGTGTGGTAAGGGCAATCAAGGCCGCGCGAAACTGCTCAGAGAGATTGACATGTACATCCGTATCCAACGCCTTTGTCTTTCCTCGCTTCAAGATGCCACTCTCGTCTTCATTATCGGACACATCAGGTGTTGTTCCTTGCCACTCAATTTCCATGTTGCGATCTCCCTTGTCCACGATTGGGAAGCTACTGACATCAAACATGTATCGCTCCATTATTTTTGCACTGCCCGCTGCACTTGCTTGATCGCCTTCATAGCTGAAAACTACAATAGCAATTCTAGCGACGCTGCCGTTCAAGAGCTCCTCGCCCACGGCGGCGATGGCGTCGGTTATCCATTCGCAGACGAGCGGATGCCGTGACTGGAAGACGGAGGTATTGTGGAAGCGCGATTGGACAAACGAGGCGCGCGGATAGAGGGTGCGTAGGTAGAGAAGCGTATGTGTGTAGGCTGTGAGGAAGGTGGTGAAGTGGTCGAGGGTCTCGAGATAAGTTGGGGCCATGGCGGGCTCGGATACGACAGGACAGGCAGTGTAACCACCACTCGACAGGGCGTTGTACACCTAGCAGGCGTTCCGACTTGTCTATCCCATATGTCTTGTAGTGGGGGTATAGTGGACAAAGGGCATGACGCAGACGCGTCTCGTCGCGTGTCAAGGCCGCTAGGCTATCGATAGGCGTCGGTAGGCGTGCATAGGCGGGCAGGGCTGGTAGTGCAGTGGCTGAACGGTATGGCGACTGTCGTGTGAATGCTGTGTCGAGAGCCCCTGGCACTGTTGGGGATAACAGCGTGGCAGGTAATACCTGGCCTTGGGTGATTGAGATGGGGAGAAGGAGACATCAAGTGCCTGGTTTCTACTCGCCCCGGAGGTGTCATGACGAATCTTCTGCACAGTGAGCCAGTGCAGGTGAAGCCATTGGTCGTCTTCCACCTCGCCACCACTCAATTCAGCCCTTATCCATATGCTCAGCCTTAATTTTCTCTATCCAGTCGTATTGTATTTACTCTCGAGGTGAAGGCGTCAAGACACTGCTCTCCCGCCACAGCAGCCGCTTGGCCACCCCGCTACACACAGATTCACGGAGCTGCCCCGCATCCCCGAGCGCGTTCTTTTTCCTCCGGTTCAGTCGCCCAGCAAACACCAACAACAAACGCGTCACCCGCCAAACAGTTCCTCTCGCCAACCGAGTTGGGCAACGCTAGACGTGCTGACTAGCTCTGTACGCGCATGCCCCACGTTGACCTTGACCATGGAGGACCAACTAGTGCAGCTGCTTTCCGCAACCCAGACGGCCCAAGAGGACACGCGCAAACAGGCTGAACAGCAGCTGCTCTCGCTCTATGGCCACCAGGAGCTCCCACTGGGCCTGATTGGCATATCCTGCCATGAGAGCGTGCCTCTCAACATCCGCCAGGCTGCCCTGCTGTATCTCAAGAACCTCGTCCTGGCAGGATGGAGTGACAGCCTCGAGGGCTGGAAGGGACAGGTCCTGATCACAGACGAGAACAAAGCTATATTACGACAGCAGCTGCTCGCCCTCGCCACGTCCGACCAGATCGACCGCAAGCTCAAGGCCGCCGCAGGCCTCGTCGTCAGCAAGATCGCAGCCGCCGACTACCCCATCGAATGGCCCGACCTGCTCGAAAACCTGCTCAATTTGATACCCAATGCGACGGAAGGCCAACTACACGGCGCCCTCAGGGTGCTTGGCGAGCTGGTTGAGGACTCGTTCAACGAGACTACCTTTTTCAGCGTGGCACCGCAGATGATCAAGATTCTATACGATGTGGCTACCAATGACCAGAGGAAGCCGACATTGAGGGCGCTAGCATGCAAGGTCTTTCACGGCTGCTTTGACATACTCGAGATGGTCATGGATGATCACAAGGCCATGGTCAAGAATTTTGCCGACGAGGTGCTCAAGGACTGGATGCCTTTCTTTATCAATGTCTTGAACACGAGGTTACCAGGTCCGCCTTCAATTGAGGAAGAAGAGCAAGATGCGCCCAATGCCACGCTGTACAAGGGTCAGATTGCTTTGAAGCTCCAAGTGGTCAAGGTACGTCATGGAGAATGAAGACCAGCGCCTGTCGCAATACTGAACATTCTACAGGTCCTCATGCGCATCCGTTCCATCTTCCCCGCTATTCTATCGCCTCAAAGTATCGTTCTCTTCCAAGCATGCTGGCAAGAACTTTCATTACTCGAACCCGCATACTCTCTCATGTACATACAAGAAGACCGCCAGAGCAGGCTGGAAGACGCCGATGGACTCCCGTACACCCTTGATTTCCTCATTCTCGAAGAGCTAGACTTTATGCAAGCATGCCTTCGCGCACCGCCAGTCCGCAGTCAGCTCGAACAGGAACTTCAGAACCAGGCACCCGAGAACTCTTGGGTTACTCAGGTCATGAAGCTGGCCGTGGCCTACGCACAAATCACTACCGAAGAGGAGGGACTGTGGGACGTCGATGTCAACATCTTCTTGAGTGAGGAGACTAGCGTTACAGCGAATTACACACCTCGAACGGCTTGTGGAGACCTCGTTATCAAGCTCGGTGAATGGCTGACAGAGCCTACGGTCAATGGCTTGTTGACCTACACCAGAGCGCTTTACTCCGAGTCAAAAGGCTGGAAAGCAGAAGAGGCCGCCCTGTACGTTCTCAACCAACTACTGGGCGACTTCCAGGACGTGGACAAGCAAATCAGCCCCGAGGCTGCGACTGGCTACGTAGATTTCATCCGTTACGCTATGCAGCAGCCTGATGCGTTCCTTCGAGCACGAGGCTACCTGGTCGCTGGAAGCTTGACAAGAACATCTGGAGACGCTCTCCAACAGCTAGCTACATCCTTCCTCGAGGCGAATCTGCAGGCTATTCCAAATGACGAGTCCGACGTTGTCCAGGTTTCTTGCATCCGAGCTCTACAACACTACCTCCAGGCACTCCCACACTCGGTTACTCAGCCCCTACAAAGCCCGATCATATTGGCGATTAGCAATTACCTTGCCGCACAGGACATGTCAGAACTCAACGACGGTGACGATATCATGATCACTTTGGTTGAGACCCTGAGAGACGCTATTCTCATCGACACTCGGATCTGCATCACGGACAACGGCCTCGATATGCTATTCCGAGTGGCTAGCCACCAAGCCTCCAACTTTCAGTTGACCATGCTGGTTGTTGAAGCGTTTGAGGAGGTTACAGAGACCATTGCTCGTATGGGAGGCGATGCGTATATTCAGCTTTGTGCAAGGGTTCTTCCATCACTCACAGGAGCTTTCGATGTTGGGAGCTTGACGGAAGAGAATGCTCTGTGCAACTTCGCTGCCGATCTCCTTGCTGTGCTTGCTGAACATGGACCTGAGCCGCTTCCTGCTGGTTTCGTTGCTACAACCATGCCAAAACTCACACGACTTCTTCTTGGATCCACTGACGAGGAGCTACTCAAGTCTGCTACAATTGCGGTCAAGAACATCATCTCGCACGATCACCACCAACTATTTGAGTGGAGAGACGACACCGGTAAGGCTGGTCTAGAGGTGGCTCTTATTATTGTCTCGCGCCTATTATCATCATGCAGTGACCACGCTGCTGGCGAGGTCGGTGCCCTTGCTGCTGAAGTGGTAGAAAAGGCTGGTCACGAACGACTTGGCCCTTACCTGGAACAGCTCTTACGGAGTGTCGCGGTGCGTCTGGCGCAAGCAAGTCAGGCGAACTTCATTCAGAGCCTGACACTTGTCTTTGCACGCTTGAGCTTGAACCATGCTTCTGAAGTAGTGGACTTCCTTGCTAGCCAAGACATCGACGGCGAGAATGGACTGCAAGTCGTGCTTGCAAAGTGGCTCGAGAACTCGATCAACTTTGCTGGCTACGATGAGATTAGGCAAAAGTACGTTAGGCTTCTTTCCCTACATCTAGTAGCCTTATGGGTGGTCACTGACTTT